CAAATCCAGTCTGGATTTAAGAATCTCCAGTGATGGAGAAGCCACTTCAATCCTGTGTAAATTGTTCTACTAGTTAATTACTCACTGTTAAATGTATGCCTAGTTTCCAGTCTGAACTTGGCTAGATTCTACTTCCAGTCTTTGGATCATGTGGTACCTTTCTACGCTGGATTGAAAAGTCCATTATTAAAAATTTCCCCCAAATCCAGTCTGGATTTAAGAATCTCCAGTGATGGAGAAGCCACTTCAATCCTGTGTAAATTGTTCTACTAGTTAATTACTCACTGTTAAATGTATGCCTAGTTTCCAGTCTGAACTTGGCTAGATTCTACTTCCAGTCTTTGGATCATGTGGTACCTTTCTACGCTGGATTGAAAAGTCCATTATTAAAAATTTCCCCCCACGTAAGTACCCATAGACTGGTCACCTCTTTACCTTCTCATGGGAAGCTAAACAAATTGAGTTCCTAGGGTCCCTTTCTGAACCATTTCTGTGGCTCTTCACTGAACTCACTCCAATTTAATCAGCACCTTTCCTGGATAGTTCATGCCAGAAGCAGATGCATTATTGCAGCCATGGGCATGCAAGTGCCAAATACAGCAGAAAAATAAATTCTTTCTACTCCAGGCTTCCATTTATCCTAGGACCGTGTTAGCGCGTAGAGCCACAAAGTCACTCTGGGAGTTCATGTTCAGCTGATTATTCACTACGATCCCCAAGTCTTTCAGAATCACTGCTTCCCAGGTACTGTCACTCGGCTCTATTTAAAGCCTGCCCTCTTTGTTTAGCTGTATACAGATAGCCACAATAGGACTATCCAGTCTGTCTTGTGCCACAACTTCTTGGCAGACAGCAGCAGAAGGGCTAAGGGTGGTGAGCCCCCTGCAACAAGTAAGGCCTGCCTCTGCCTTCCCCTACAAGGGGCCCAGGCTCATTAATACCCTTTGTTTGGTTTCCTTTCCTTGCACCCGCCCTACTGCTTACAGCTGTAGATCACCTCCTCCTGCATGCATTGCTGGCACTCCACATAGCAGCACCACTGCACATGGCAGTGGCAAGAGAAGGTGACCATCTGGCTCTGTGTGTTGTAGCCTCGCCCACAGCACAGGCTGTCACAGCTGGCCTCCCGGGAGCATGTCCTGCCGGCAGTGCCTAGGGAGTATTTGCTGGGCCGGCAGAAGCTGGGGGAGTCCTCCACGTATACCAGATCCGTGGGGCGCGGAGCAGCTGGGCTTTTGGGGGAGCGGCTGTGCCGCTGCACTCCCATGAGCTCCGAGTGTCCCACAGCATCATTCGTGGCACTAAAAATCTTGATGGCATCATCATAGCGCAGCTTGAGGATCTTGCCAGTCTCATGGAACGGGGAGAGCTGCTTCCAGCAGGTCCTCACAGCACAGGAGCCAGAGACACCATGGCACTTGCACGTGGTTTTGAGACCGTTCTTCACAGTCTGCGAAAGAAGAAACTCCAGTTAGGACACCGCACCTCAGAGAGGGCCAGAAAGCACCGGAGCCATTCCCATGTTACAAACAGGGAAATGGAGGCACAGAGGGTCACAGGCTGCAAAAATGCCCTACAGTAAGAAACTGACAGAGTTCAAAGAGGAAGAGAGGACCCAAATCAGCATTTAGGGGCAGTCACAGGGTGAACACAAAGTATTCAAGGACATTAGAATCTGGCAGAGAAAAGCAGAACAAGAACCAGTGGCTGGAAGCTGAAGCCAGAAAAATCCAGAGGAGAAATTAGGCACCGTGATGAGGCAATTGCTGTACAGTGGAAAACAAGGGATTAAAACCAGCCGTGGGTGCAGAGGGCTGGCTGTTCCATAAGCCAACCAGGGCAGGGCTAGGCTCTACAAGAATGGCTGCTGGGCAGCAGGAGCTGAACCAAGCTGCTTGACAGACTGGTACCATGGACAGAACAGTGCTGGGAGACCCCAGGCAGCCAGCAGGGTCCCTGCCTGAACAACTTTCCTCCTGACTCAGGGACCTGAGGGAGGTACTAGGGCTGCGGGTCCACCCCCTGCCAGCAATGAGCAGCTTATTCAAACTGCAGTTTGCCCCCAAGGGAAGGGGCTAGACTAGGGCTGCAGTGGCTCACTGAGGCCAGTGGTGGAATTAGGCCTAGCCAGTTCTCTGGGGGAGGAGGAACCTGGGAGTGGACACCCCCACAGGGGAGTAATCCAGGGGAAGAGGGGTTATGGTCTGAGGGTCTGTCTACACTACCCCGCTAGTTTGAACTAGGGGGGTAATGTATGCATACCGCACTTGCTAATGAAGCCCGGGATTTGAATTTCCCGGGCTTCATTAGCATAAAGACGGCTCCGCCATTTTTAAAAGCCGGCTAGTGCGAACCCCGTGCCGCACGGCTACACGCAGCATGGGCTAGATAGTTCGAACTACGTAGCCATTCCGATCTATCTAGCCCGTGCCGCGTGTAGCCGCGTGGCACGGGGTTCGCACTAGCCAGCTTTTAAAAATGGCGGAGCCGGCTTTATGCAAATGAAGCCCGGGAAATTCAAATCCCAGGCTTCATTAGCAAGTGCGGTATGCATACATTACCCCCTAGTTCGAACTAGCGGGGTAGTGTAGACATACCCTGGGAGGGATGCTGGCCCCAGTGTGGTGGGGGCAGAAGAGGCAGATGACTGTTGGTGACATCACCAAAGGAGGGTGCTGTGCGGCTAGAATGAGCTAATTCGCAGGACATCCAGCAGGAGGCATCATGGGTGAGAGAGTCACAGCCTGCTACAGGCACAAACTCAGCAGGGAGGGGGATCATCACTCCCCTTTGTTGCTCATTCCAGTGTCAGATTCTTCATAGAATCACAGATTAGGTTTGGCAGAGCCCCCAGGAGTCATCCAGTCCAACCCCTGCCGAAAGCAGGACCAACTGCAACTCAGTCAGCCCAGCCTGGGCTCTTTCATGCCGGGACTTAACTTCCAGGGATGGAGATTCCACCACCTCCCCAGGGAACCCAGCCCAGCGCTTCCCCACTCTCCTGATATCCAACCTAGACTCCCTCTCCCATTGAGACCATTGCTCCTTGCTCTGTCCTGTACCGTCACTGAGAACGGCTTCTCTCCATCCCCTGTGGAACTGCCCGTCAGGTAACTGCAAGTTGCTACTATCAATCCCCCCCCCCCCCCCCTCACTGTTCTCTTCTGCAGACTAAATGAATCATATTCTCCAGTCTGCTAATCATTTTAATTACCCTCCGCTGGACTCTCTCCACTGTGCCCACACCCTTTCTGTAAAGAGGGGCCCAGAACTGGACACAATACTCTATTTGGCACTAGTGAGGCCACACCTAAAGAGGAATAATCACGTGCCTTCATCTGCTGGCAACGCTCCTACTAATGCACCTTCATTTCTCACTGTCTTTAGCTCAAACTTGGAGGCCTTTCTGGAAGATGCTTTTGTCAAACAAGTTATTGGGATCAGAACAAAGTTGAAATTTGGTGGCCTGCAATGGCTGGTAGGTCTAGTGATCCCACCTGACCTTATATCTAATTCTAAGCCTTGCAAAGGTCATGTCAAAGCAGCAGCACGGCTGGGGTTGAACCCAGGAGTCCTAACTCCCAGCCCTTCATCTCTAGCCATCCTCAAAACTTGAATGAGCATCCTGTTCCCATATGAACACTGCCGGATTTACCAAGTGCAGAGCCCTATGAAGACCTGACCACTATCCCCATCGTTTCACAGCAGCAGGCATATAAAAGTCAGACTTCACAGGCCCTGCCATCCAAGCAAAGGGACAATTTCTGGTTAACCCTCAGCAGCATAGGGCCTGTTCTGACTAACCAGCAAAAGGCAGTGGCCTCTCCCCTGCCATAGCAGTTCCCCTGTAGAAGACATGAGTATAGAGGATAGGTCAAGCTATTTGCATCTGATCCCTGAGCAGGCAAGGTGCCCTTCCCCCTCACCTTGATGCCCACATTGGTGTTGTGGATATCCACCTTAGCCCTCAGGTCTTTGCCAATCTTCTTCTGGCCCACGAAATGTTTAAGGAACTTGGTGCTGTATTTCAGGTTGTCGCCACAGACTCCCCATTGCCAGGCCTTGCGATTCTCCAGGCCTGGAGAGTCGTCACAGGTGCAGCGCTCCATTCGTCCAGCACTGCATGCCCGGGCCAGCGAGTGGGTAAGAGCTGCAGAAGACACTGCATACAGGAAGGCAGTTTCCTTAAAACCTGAACAAGACAGAAGGGTTAAGGGAGGCTGGGAAGGAGGAATGGACATTCACCCATGTAACTGGGCTCCACACAAAGAAACACTGGGCCCTATTTTGTAGGGACTGCGCAGGACACAGTTGGGTGGCAGATTAACATGCTCCTGAGTGGTCTCTCTCAGAGTACATCTACGCTGTGGCACTATTTCGGGATACGTCCCGGATCCCAAAAGCTATTCTGCATCTTTTAAACAAGCCCGTTATTTCAAAAGCTGTAACAGGCTTGCTATTCTGACGTCTCTATATACCTCATTCCAGGAGGATTAAGGGACGTTTCAGAATAGAGCCGTATTTCAAAATACACTCAAAATAAACTATGCACATTGCAGAGCTCAAATTGCATAGCTTATTTTGAGCTACGGTGTAGTGTAGACACACTCTCAATGAGCAACAGGAAGGGAGGCTGCTAACAGGGTAAACAGTAAAAACACACAATTGTAACGCAGATGGGTGCCATGCATGGAGAGAACTAAAATGTCAAGGGATGGAAAGGAAAGAAATTTTTCAGGTTCCTGTATGCTGATTCTAAAAGCCTAGAGGGATAAGAGGATCACTCAGATACTTCCTTTTATCAGTGGGTGACACATCATTGATATTCCTGAAACTGACATAGAATGTTATTCACTGGACATGATGGGTTAGAAGATTCACAGGATTCAAGGCCAGAAGGATCATCTAGTCTAACCTCCTGCATAGACCAGGCTGGAGAAGTTCCCCAAAAATCTGCTGTGGGGATTCTTTTAGGAAAATCATCCAATCTTGATTTAAAAATGATCCACTGTGATCCTGGATAAATCACTCTATTAAAAGTTCTCTTTATTTCCCATCTGCATTTGACTAGCTTCAGCTTCCAGCTCGTGGATCAGGTTACACCTTTTTCTGCCAGACTGAAGAGCTCACTACAGGTACTAAGGGCAGCTAAAATGATTAGGGGTTTGGAACGGGTCCCATATGAGGAGAGGTTAAAGCGACTGGGACTTTTCAGTTTAGAAAAGAGGAGACTGAGGGGGGATATGATAGAGGTCTATAAAATCATGAGTGGTGTGGAGAGGGCCGATAAAGAAAAGTTATTTATTAGTTCCCATAATAGAAGAACTAGAGGACACCAAATGAAATTAATGGGTAGCAGGTTTAAAACTAATAAAAGAAAGTTCTTCTTCACACAGCGTGTAGACAACCTGTGGAACTCCTTGCCAGATCAGGCTGTGAAGGCTAGGACTATAATAGAGTTTAAAGAGAAGCTAGATAATTTCATAGAGGTTAGGTCCATAAAAGATAAAATGGTGTCCCTGGCCTCTGTTTGTCAGAGGCTGGAGAGGGATGGCAGGAGACAAATCGTTTGATCATTGTCTTCGGTCCACCCTCTGTGGGGCACCTGGTGCTGGCCACTGTCGGCAGACAGGCCACTGAGCTAGAGGGACCTTTTGTCTGACCCAGTACGGCCGTTCTTATGTCTACACAGCAGCATTAATTTTGGAATAACTGACATTCTGAAAAAAACAAAGAGCGTGTCTACACTACAAGCCTTTATTTCAAAATAATGCCAAGCTGGAGGACTTCTTATTCTGATGTCTGTAACCCTCATTTTACGAGGAGTAAGGGAATTTGAAGGAAGAGTGTTCTTCTTTTGACTTCCTGCTGTGTAGACAGCACCAAAAGCTGAAATAAGCTATTTTGACTTAAACTACTTGTAGACATACCCTATTAAATAATATAGGTTCTCAATGTAGGTACTAAGTCACCCTTTAACCTTCTTTTTAAGCTAAACACATAGGCTGCGTCTAGACTGGCATGATTTTCCGCAAATGCTTTTAACGGAAAAAGCACTTTTTGCGGAAAAGCGTCCGTGCCAATCTAGACGCGGTTTTGCGTAAGAAAGCCCCCATCGCTATTATCACCATCGGGGCTTTTTTGCACAAAACGGTTCTCAGTTGTCTACACTGGCCCTCTTGCACAAAAGCATTTGCGCAAGAGGGCTTTTTCCCGAGCGGGAGAGTCATTGTATTTGTGCAAGAACACTGATGATCATACATTAGATCGTCCGTGTTCTTGCGCAAATTCAAGTGGCCAGAGTAGACAGCTGGCAAGTTTTTCCACAAAAGCGGCCGCTTTTGCAGAAAAACGTGCCAGTCTAGACGCAGCCATTGAGTTCGTTGAGTCCGTCACTATAAGGCAGGTTTTCTAACCCTTTAATCATTCTCGTGGCTCTTCTCTGAACTCTCCCCAATTTATCAAATTCCTTCTTTAATTGTGGACACAAGAACTAGCTGCAGTTGTATCTGTGAAAGATATGGTAAAAACATCTACTCCCTTCTCAAGATCCCGTTTCCTCAACCAATACAGAACCAGATGGCTGGTATGTAAGTTTAGAAAGGTCATAGAGGAGTGTTTTTACATTAAAGGGCTCAGCAGTAAGAGGGTTGGGGTAGTCTATCCCAGGGCATCCTGCATACTGAACTCCTCATCCCCAGCCCCACCCCAGAGCAAGGACTTAAAATGAAGCATGTACATTTTCATTTTATTTTCCAGAACACAAAAATTGAGTTAGGGACCCAAGCTATTCCGGGTAAATCTCATAGTATATTTATAAATCATGTCTCTCTCTCTCTGAAATCCTTCAAATCAAATAAGATTTCCCCTTGGATGCCTATAACTGATGAGTGTGTAGATGAGAAATTAAGTCAATTCTAGCCAGGAACATTCTGGCAGCGGCTGCACATTAGAACTCTATCTCCAGCAGTGCTGACACAAGCGGCACCAATATGGGCCTAGGTTCACTCCTTACGGTGGGCTCTCTGATTGTCTTCACTTGACCTCAAAGAGTCAGGTAACATTCTTGATGATGGTCCTCCAGGTTACCTGATCCTTCATCGGCCTCTCCCAGGTGTCAGCGTCAATGCCGCAATTTATTAAGGTGTTCTTAAGAACATCCCTCTAGTGCTGCTTCTGCCCACCATGAGACCTCATCCCAGTCCTCAGCTGAGCATAGAAAATATGTTTAGGCAAGTGTGTGTCAGGCATCCTGACCACGTGACCAGACCATCGTAGCTGCCTGTGGGTGATTATTACGATTATTGCTGCAAGAATCAGCCTCTGCGAGGATATTAACGTTGGTCTGTCTGTCCTGCCACTTGATGCCCAAATTCTCCTCAGGCACCTTTGGTGGAATTTCTCCAGATCTTTAATATGTCATCTATAGTGGTCATCGAAGACTCAACTCCATAAATGTCCATAAGCTGGCGGATTTCATCATTGATGTCAGCCTTGCTGGACAGATAGCTTCAGAGATAAGGCAAGCTATTTACATTCTCCAGGACTTGGTTGTCTGCCGTGGTGGTTGGTTCAGATAACTGTTTGGTGGGTGTTTTGGTCTTTTGTGCATTGAGAGTCAGTCCCAACCTGTGGTAGGCCATGATGAAATTGTCGACGATTGCTTGGAGCCCATCTTCTGAAGTGCCCATCTACCTGAGCATAGTCAGTGTACTGGAGTTCTACCATGATGTTATTGTGGTCAGAGCCAAGACCAAGAAGCGACCCATCCTGCAGGTTATTTCAGCTCTGCCTGGGAGGTCATCTCCAATAATCTGGAGCATGGATGCCAAAAAGATATTAAATAGTGTAGGGCTATCACACACTGTTTGAATCCAGTCCTTACGTCAATTGGTTCAGTTGCATCACCACTATTGAGTTTCACAACTTGCATGTTGTGTAAGAAATGTATAATACTGACAAAATTTGTTAGACAACAACTAAAGTGTTGCAGGATCTTCCAGGAGGCCTCACAGTTGACAGAGTCAAATGCTTTTGTCAAATTGAAGAATGGCATATACAGAGGCTGATGTTGATCCCGACACTTCTTATGTATTAGGCAGGCAGAAAAGATCATATCAATCATTCCTCGCCCTGGTGGAAGCCACATTGTGACTCCGGAAGGATTTCTTCAGCTAGTGAAAGGAGATGGTTCAGAAGGACTTGGGCAAGAATTTTACCTGCAGTTGAGAGTAGGGAGATCCCTCGGTAGAAACAGGATAAACAATGAGGTGGAAAATTCTGCCGACAATATAAAATAAGCGAACTGCAAAGCATTACAAAGGAAACTCTCAAGTGGGTAAATGACAGGGTCAGGACAGAAGGCTATAAAAAAGTAGTCCTACTGGAGTCCTGGAGGTGGGTGGGCATAAGCCCCCCCACATCTAAAGCACCTGCCCCCAGCTTACGGGAGGGTCCACAGAGCCCAGAACACCAAGTAATTATGGGTGACAGAAAAAAAAATGGATGAATGTGGAGGGGGCTGGACAGGGACAAACGAGGGCTAAAACGAGGGGGCTGGACAGGGACACCGGGCAGAGAACCCCAAACCGCACCCACTGCTCCTAGAAAACCTCGAGAGAGCCAGCAGATGCCTCCCAGTTGAACTCTGCCCAGATTTGTGAACGGATACAGGAGCAGAATTAGGCCCCACAGTCACAGGTCCCTCCCTCAGCCAGTCTCTGCTCCCTGGTCTTGTAAATTGCTATTTTGGCTTTAGGCAGGAGGAGGTTGACGAGGAGGTCCTGCGACTTTGGGGAGCCACAGATGGGGTGTGCATAAATTAATAGGTGAGGGGAGAAGTGCAGCCAGCACCTCAACAAGAGGCTCTGGAGGATCTGAAAGAGGGGCTGTAACTTGGTACGCTTGAGACAGATGTGCGGCAGGGTCTCCCTCAGACTGGCCCACTGTGGCTCCCCAGCCTCGATTGGAGGTAAGAGGTCCTGCCATTTGTTATTTGGGCGGGACATGAGGATGGAGAAGTGAAGCACATACAGATGACTTTTTGATGCCGTTCAAAAGGGGACCAGCTGCAGTGCATGCAGCTGGCTCGGGGGATGAGGGGGAGGTGATCAGGAAGGCACGTGGAGCCAATGGAGAGATCTGGCAGGCTCTTGCAGGACACGGTGGAGGTAAACCCGAGCAGTGGCCAGC